GACTTTAGTGTATGGTGAAAGGTAATAGGTCTAGTTTCATTCTCCTGCATATTGATAACCAGTTCTCCCAGCACCATTTATAAGCACCTCTTCCAATCCTGAGATACAGAGTGTGTTCAAGGACAGCTTTCTGAGGGAAGTAAGTAATCTCTTAGTTTGGACCTGAAGGACAAGTAGTCATTAACTAGACTAAGGAGGGAGGGTAGAACTTGTGGAAATTTCTGGAGTAATACATGCAAAGGCCAGAAGCCAAAGGAGTAATATCTAGGAACTGAAAGATGCTCAGTTTGACTAGATTGTAACGTATCAGAGGCACAGGGGTGCAATGTAGGCAGAACACTCATGGGCTCAGATCATATATGGCCTTGACAATAATGGTGAGGAGTCTGGACTTTATTCTATGAACTCTGGTAAGTCACTGAAGAGTTGTATGTAGATAAGTGATGAGATCAGATTTACATCTTTGAAAGCAGGCTCAGACTGTATATACTCTGGCTACAAATTTAAGGGAATGAGGTTTGGTTGCAACAAGGTCTTGGAGGAAGCTGTTGTATTGATTTAAGCTGGAAACCTGTAGGTGAGTATGAATATGGGTGGTATCAGTTGGAATTGAAACAAATGGACTGATTCAAGAGATCTTTAAGAGTTTGAAATGACATATCTTTGTCATTAATCAGATGTCAGAGGTTCAACATAATGATTTGAGTGTGATCTTATAGTTTTTGACATGGCCATATTGGTAGCATTGGGAAATGCAGAAGGAAAAGGAAAATTTGTGGTAGGAAGAGGGTAAGTATGGGTTTTGCTGTGTTGAGTTTGACTAGTCCTTTAGGTGTTGATTTTTTTTCCTGCTATTCTTTCAAAAACTTTTAAAATTAATTTATTTATTGGAACGTAATCGATTGTCCACATCTGTGGGGTACAGCATTGAACATCAATACCTGTGTGCAATAAGTGATGATCAAATCAGGATAATTAGTATATTCTTCATTATATAATATAATGGATTTTTGTAGCCTTTTACCAATTCCTCCCTTTCTTCCCTTCCCTTCCCCCTTTCCAACCTCTGGTAACCTCAGTTCTGTTTTCTTCTCTTAAAAGGTCGGTGTATTATTGTGATTGTTGCATTTTTCTTTCTTTCTTTCTGTTTTACTTATTAGGTCCCACATATAAGTGAGGACATGTGTTATTTCTCTTTCTGTGCCTAGGTTATTTCACTTAACATAATTTTCTCTATGTTCATCCATGTTGCTGCAAATGGCAGAATTTCATTCTTTTTTATGGAAGAGTAGTATGCCATTGTATAAATATACCACATTTTCCTTATCCAGTCATCCAATGATGGACATTTAGGTTGGTTCCAACTCTTAGCTAGGTGTCAATTTTAAGTCTGTGGCATAGAAGCTTGAGCAACTTAGGAGCTTCATCTCAGATTGTTGCAGGGAGTTACTGTGAACTCACAAGGAGAGGCAGAAAACACTGAGGCTTAAAATAGGAAAACAGAGTTTATTGAAATGCCAGCATTTGGCCCCAAAGGACTCATGTCCAAAGTTTTGAGCAGCCCAATGCAGTGGGGCAGTTATTTTTTATATCATAGCATTTCTGGGTTTTACAGCATGGTAAGGGAGGTGCTTTATCTTAGGGTGGAAAAGTACAGGAAATAAAAGGGAAAAGAAGTTCAGTTTCAGCAATCTGTGATAACCACAGGGTGAAATGGAGTGGGGGCTGGGCTTGTAGCTGCAGCGGGATATCAACTAAAGCTGTTTCTGTAAGATATCTGGTTCAGGCAGGGCTGTACAAGCAAGGGTGCCTAAAGATGAAGATAATATTGGGATTTAAGAAATATTGATGGCAATTTAAACTCTTCAAGTGGGTGAAGATGTAGGGTTGGAAGAGAAGAGAACCTAATGTGGTGCCCTAAGGAACCTCATCAGTTAAGAGAGGTACAAAGGGAGAAGAATTCAACAAATAAATAAATGAGTAATAAATAAATAAAGAATTCAACAAATAAATAAATGAGTAATGTGTGGCCAGAGGGATGGTGAGGACATGAGGTGAGGGTGAGGGACAAAAAGGTATGGTATGATGGAACTTGGAAAGAACAGTTCAAGAATGAGAGTAAATTAGTACAACCACTACGGAAAACAGTATGGAGGTTTCTCAACAACTACAGATAGATCATCCATATGATCCAGCAATCCCACTTCTGGGTATATACCCAGAGGAGTGGAAATCATCATGTTGAAGGGATACCTGCACTCCCACGTTCATTGCAGCTCTGTTTACAATAATCAAGACATGGAACCAACCTAAATGTCCATCAATGGATGATTGGATAAGGTAACTGTGGTATATATACACCATGGAATACTACTGTGCCATGAAAAAGAATGAAATTCACCCATTTGCAATAACATGGATGAGCTTGGAGAAACTTATGTTGAGTGAAATAAGCAAAGCACAGAGGGATAAATACCACATGTACTCACTCATAAGTGGGAGCTAAGAGAGAAAGAAGGAAGGAAAGAAAGACTACAGTGGCACATTGGACTTATAAACGGAGAGAACATACCTTGGGATACAAAATGGAGTTGGGGGGAAAGGGGAAGGGGGAGGGAGGTTGGGGATAATTGGGTGGGGGACACAGGGTACAATCACAATTTATGGTAATGGGCATGCTGCCAGTATGGATCTGGCCTTCACATCTTGGGCACAAGGGGTGACAATCAGCCTTGTATCTTATGACTATAACCAAAAAAAAGAAAGAATGAGAGTATATTCAACACTCTGAACTATCTTTGAATGATCACGTCTGAAAGATAAGGAATAAAGCAAGTTCCAGGGCTTTGTTTTTTTTGTAATTGTAATTGTTGTTTGTTTATAACTTTGGTAAGAGTGGTTTCAGGAATAGGCAGACTCAGAATCCAGGGTTAAGTGGGTTGAGAAGAGAATGGAAATAAAAGAGATGGAGACAGGACGTCTCAACAGTATTTTATGGAAGTTTAGTAAGAGTAGAGACTTGGGGCATCCTAAATGCTGATAGGGTAGAGCCAATCATCACCTACTGATATGTCTCTCTACCAGGAAATTCTCATAGCCTTGATGAAGGATGTGCTTCTAAAACTTATTTTAACTGTCCTTGATGGTAGAGGCAAGTTAATACATCCTTCCAGAGGGACAGGGGAGAGGTGTGGCTGAAGCTACTGCCAGACCAATTTCAGGTCTTCCAGAAATCATTCTTATTCATTGTGGACATAAGCATCATAGCAGACCATAGAGCCAATCATCCAGTCAACAATTACGTGTGATGCAAACCCTGTGACAATGAGAAAGTAGCTCATACATCAGCTTGTACTAGGCATTTCCAAAAGAGTCATAAAGACTGGAAATATATATCAGTAAAGCTGCCTACATTTTTTTGTAACCAGCCATGACTTTAGCTAATGACCCGCTAATAAGAAAAGAAAAGGTGGAATTATTAGATTTAGAAGAACTTTTAATAATCTAGTTGGAGGATGTTGGCAGCAAAGTTGAATCAAGTTACAGACTGACTTGGAATCCACTAAACATAATTATTATCAAGTATTTATAGCTGTGAAAAAATGACGCTGGGTTGCCATTACTTGAAGTTAGGATCACAGCTAAAAGGTCCGTCAGAGTCAATTGATAAGGTAATGTATTCTAGAATGCTTAAGTTAAAAGGGTCTCTCAAAATGGAAGTCATAGCTTCTTTTTGGATGAAATTATCTGACATTATTTGATCATTGACTTCGATTTATCATTTGCATCAGCATTCAAGAGCTGCCTAGTAGCAGGGACCAAAATGAATTCAACTTTGTTGATTACACCCCCAAGAGATCCTCCCCTCATTCCAGGGCCATTGTATGGGAGGATATCACTTTGCTTCTTGAATAAATAAGCTCCGTTTTTAAAAAGTTACTTGAAGAAAAGGGAGGGAGTTACTACTTGGATCCTTTTGTTGGTTCCCCTGGCAACCATTAGTTTCAAGGAGAGTGGAGACAAGATAATCAATCTGTTTTTACCAACAAACTATAGAGAAAATAATATTAAATAAATTAACAAGAACTTTCTAGTTGTTGAGTCACTAGCAAACATTTCCTAAGTATTTTGTGCCTCTCTCCGCCTGAAACTCTTTTCCCCCCTAATTAATTTGAATTTCACAGTTGCCCTGGGAGTTGCTTCCATTGTCCGAGTATGTACTTCCATGGAAAAAAAGGCTTTATTTTATTTAAAGTTTGATATTCTAAGAGCTTGTAAATACAAAAATGTGAGTAACTTTCAACAAAACAGCAGGTACTAAATGAATACATTGATATCTCTTGTTGGAACAGGGAAAAGCAGGAAAAAGGAGAAATGCCAGGATGCTGATCTGTACCCACTTGTGGAAACAGAACCATGTCCTTGTGATGCATTTATATCCCAACCTTATGGAAACTGGTCCGATTGCATTCTTCCAGAAGGCAGAAGGGATCCTCAGCGAGGATTGCGGGTACAAGGCAACAGCAAAGAATGTGGAAAAGGTGTGCGCTTTCGAGCAATAGCCTGCTCTGATAAAAGTGGAAGACCTGTTGACCCCTCCCGCTGCAGCAGCTCTGGTAAGGAGATGGGTGCGGAGTAACAGATGAGAACTTTGACACACAGCTCAGGAGGTGTGTCCAAGATCTAGAATATAGCTTTGTTCTTTAATAATTGTTTTAGTTCTTTGTCAGTATCACACTGCCTCCCCCAAAATATGGATATGTGAAATGCACATATCTATACTGCAACGATTACGTGACTCCACCTTTGTTTATCGACCACTTGTTTACTGGTGGTGAGCACAGCTGCTGTACTTCACTTAGAAAGCCAAAGTCCAATACAAGTGAGTATATTTCATGGTGTGTTTCGGTGCTCTGACCATATATGTAGAAGGCATAAGACCTTGAATTTCTTCTACTGTAGTTGATAAAATACCAATGAAAAAAATTGATTTTGAGTGTTTTACAATACAATGTGCAAGTACGTCCAAATGAATAGAATAAAGCTGTAGAAAAGAAATGAGGCCATCTTGAAGAGTTTGTGGGACGTTAATCAGGGAGAAGACTGTCTTTTTTTGAAACTTAGTTGGGAGAATTTGAAGGATATGAGTGAATGGAGAAAGGAGTGAAGGTTAAATATGGCTGGGGCAAAAGAAAGAGGCTAGGTTGATAATTATAAAGGAGCTAATGAATTTCCTGTTACTATCTTTTTTTTTTTTAAGATTATACCCATTAGGAATTTTACAGAGGAGTATAGAGAGGATTCATATTTGACTAGGAAACTCTGGAAACAAGTGGATGGATTTTGGTCTTAGTCATAAAGGTCTCATGTACTACTGAGCTTTCCAGTAATACCAGAAATGGCAAATTAAATTTAGTTCTAATGTACAAGTCAGGTAAATGATAGTTCTTTATTGCCAATGCACTGGCTTGTCTTTAAGATATACCCATATATTATCTGAATGCAATTTAAGGTTTACTAATTTTTTAAATTAGTGCCATTATTGCTCTATGTATGCTACCTAGGTGAGCCTGTAGAATTGTTTTAAGTGTTTTGATTTTCAGAAACATTAACACATCACAAGCACATCCTTCCATTTTAAGGCAGCCAAAGCTGGATGACTATAATCATTGTTTTTTAGCTTTTATCTGCACATTGTTTTATTAATTCATTCATTTGATTAAAACCTGTATATTGACCACCTAGTCTCCTTCTATGATTCGAATATACATTTGTGGGCAAATCAGAGACTCACGAAATTTATTGTCCAGTGGGGAATAGAAATAAAACAAACAAATAAAAAGAATTTCAAGTCTTTGTTAGCTCTGAAAATGCTGAATAGAAAAGACCACATAAGAATACATTGAACTTATAGAAGGAGAGAACAAACCTAAGGATACTAGAGATGGGGAGAGGGAGGGAGGGGGTTTGGGGAGTGATAGGTTGGGTAAAAGGCATAAAGTAAAATGACGATTTGTAATAATTAATATGCTAATAAAAATTTTTAAAAAGAAAATTTTAGATAGACTTTAAGGAAGTCCTCACGGAAGTGACATAATTCTGAGATGTGAAGAGTGAGAAAGAGGCAGTTACATGTAAAGTACACAATAAGGTTGTTTCAGTGAATGGGATGTCCAGAGGATGCAAGTGACGAAAAATGTTCTGGCAAAAAAAAAAAAAAAAAAAGAAACCCAGTGGTTTGAACGTAGGGAGTGAGGGGAGAGTTGTGGGAAGTGAGATCAAGGAATTAGACAGACTCTTGTAAGACAAGCCAAGGAGTATGGGTGTAATTTAAGTGCAGTCATTGGCTGGGAAGTGGGGTGGATAATGTGATCCAATTTGGGTTTTTAAAAGATCTCTTTTGACTACTGTCTACAGAATGACTTAAAAGGAGCAAGGAGGCCATTGGGGAACTATTGCAATTAGTCAAGGTAAGACATGATGGTAGGTTAGACTAGGGTGGTGGCAATAGAGAAACGGAGAAGTAGTTTTACGATAACATTTTGAGATAGAAATGACGAGATTATTCCTAATGCAAGTAATCTTTTTTTGTATGTTATTTATTCACTTCCAATTTTTCATAATTTTTTTTTCAAATCTAGAAAATAACCATTTCAGGTTAAAAATGGAATTATTTTCAAGGAAAAAGAGACATTTATAACTCAACCAATTTGCAGCATAATAGCAAAAGCTATTAGGGAATCTAAAATATTTTCACCACATGATACAGGGCTTTAATCAAGATTTACTATAGATTCATAACTTTTGTGATATTTGTGTTAAGATACTTTTACAGTAGATATTTTTTAAAAAGATTTTTTAAAAAATAGAAATGGAATTTTATTGAGCTAGTATTTTATTGAGGATTTTTGCATCCATATTCATCAAGGATATCATCCTGTAGTTTTCTTTTTTAGTTGTATCTTTACCTGGTTTTGGTATCAGGATGTTTGCTTCATAGAATGAGTTTGGGAGATTTGCCTCTGTTTCAATCTTTTGGAATAGTTTGTAAAGAATTGGTGTCAATTCCTCTTTGAATGTTTGGTAAAATTCTGCTTTGATTCCATCTGGTCCTGGGCTTTTCTTTGTTGGGAGCCTCTGGTAACAGCTTCAATCTCCTTTATTATTATTGGTCTGTTCAGATTTTCTACATCTTCTTGGCTCAGTTTTGGTAGCTTGTGTGTGTCCAGAAATTTATCCATTTCCTCCAGATTTTCAAATTTGTTGGCATATAGTTGTTTATAGTAGTCTCAAATAATTCCTTGTATGTCAGATGTATCATTGTAATATCACCTTTTTCATTCCTAATTTTTGTTATTTGGATGTTCTCTCTTCTTTTTCTAGTTAGCCATGCTAATGGTTTGTCAATTTTATTTATCTTTTCAAAAACTTTTTGATTCGTTGATCTTTTGTATTGTTTTTTGGGTTTCAATTTCATTAAGTTCTGCTCTGATCTTAATGATTTCTTTCCATCTGCTAACTTTGGATTGGGATTGTTCTTGTTTTTCTAGTTCTTTAAGCTGAAGTGTTAGGTTGTTTACTTCCATTCTTCTAAAGTAAACATTTAATGAGGTAAACTTCCCCCTTAGCACTGCTTTTGCAGTATCCCACAAGTTTCAGTATGATTTATCATTATTTTCATCCCAGGGATGCAAGGTTGATTCAACATATGCAAATCAATAAATGTGATACACCATATTAATAAAATCAAACACAAGGACCATATGGTCATCTCTATAGATGCTGAAAAAGCATTTGAGAAAATTCAACATTCATTCATGACAAAGACCCTCTGTAACTTAGGTATAGAAGGAAATTATCTCAACATAATTAAAGCCATATATGATAAACCTACTTCCAATATCATCCTGAATGTGGAAAAGCTGAAAGCTTTTCCTTTAAGAACAGGAACTAGACAAGGATGCCCACTCTCACCACGCCTATTCAACATAGTGTTGGAAGTACTAGCCAGAGCAATCAGAGAAGAGAAGGAAATAAAGGGCATCCAGATTGGGAAAGATGAAGTCAGACTGTCCCTCTTTGCAGATGAAACGATCCTATATATCGAACAGCCTAAAGCTTCTACAAAAACCTCTTGGAGTTGATAAATGATTTCAGCAAAGTAGCAGGATACAAAATCAACACACAAAAAATCATTAGCATTTCTATTCTCCAATAGTGAACATGCAGAAAGAGAAATCAAGAAAGCTTGTCCATTGACAATATCCACCAAAAAAATAAAATACTTAGGAATTGAGTTAACCAAGGATGTGAAAAATCTCTACAATGAGAACTACAAACCACTGCTGAGAGAAATTAAAGAGGACACAAGAAAATGGAA